CACAATTACGGCCTCCATGGAAATGGAGAGCACTATTCGCCCATGCTGCAAGGCGCTGATTTCGTGAGACTCTTCAAAAGGGCCGGTAGGTGGAGCCCTACAAAGTCTTACGGGAATTGCGCCGTTCTTAGTACCCGATCCCACATTCGTTAGTAGAGGAACTTTTGTAGAAAAATTGGGATCCCACATGGTTCCCCGTCTGAAGGCTTTGGACAATAAAACGCCTGTTTCTACTCTCGAGATGGTGCGTGTTGCGACGGGCGTGACCCATGGCGCATGGTGCTGGTGGAATTGCCAGAAACCCGTTACCCCTATCCATCCCCCTAAAAGTAGGCATCACCGCGGCCCGGTTCTGTGTTCGTAGTCCACCGAATTGTGTGACGCGCGCCGCTCTGAAGAACACGGCCTCTCGAAAGGACCCGTCGACGCCCATCCCAAATCGGCTAGTCTGCTGTAAAAGCCCTGCAGCGTCCGCCCGTGTGGGATCTGTTTTTTTTTTATTTACGAATCGTGAGGAGCAGGCCGACTTGTAAGGAACTTTTCCGATTTTGTGGTAAAAGTTCGTTGTGGGATCGAACTCTTAGTTTGAGAAAAGGAATTCCTGCAAGACCAGGTAGTGGAGCACAACCCTTGTCATAGCCCGGCTGTTTTATCTCTGGCCTGAAACAGATCTCTGTCGGAGGATAAGGATACAGGACCCAAATCAGTCACTATGGCTTTCCTATTGCAGTAGTGCAACCCAAATTAGTCATTATGCAGGGAAAGCATCTCACGAGTCAATCACAAGAATCGAACACGGGACCTCCCTCTTGGGAGGCAAACACTCAACCAAATGGCTAAGTGGACTGGGGTGATAGTTAAGCCCCAAGATGAGCACTTAACCCCACCCCAGCATGGATTTCTCCGCGACCTGGTGTACGCAGTCACACACACACTCAACCACAGGTCGTCGACGCAACCACCAGACAATGTTTAACCGCACTGCAGGTTGCTACGCAAGTCGATGCAGGGAAAGCGTCTCACGAGTCGATCACAAGAATTGAACGCGCGACCTCCCTTTTGGGAGGCAAACACTCAACCAAATGGCTAAGTGGACTGGGGTGAAAGTTAAGCCCCAAGATGAGCAGTTAACCCCCCCCCAGCACGGATTTCTCCGCGACCTGGTGTACCCAGTCACACACACACTCAACCACAGGTCGTCGATGGAACCACCACACAATGTTTAACCGCACTGCAGGTTGCTACGCAAGTCGATGCAGGGAAAGCATCTCAAGAGTCGATCACGAGAATAGAACGTGCGACCTCCCTCTTGGGAGGTAAACACTCAACCAAACGGCTAAGTGGACGGGGGTAAAAGTTAAGCCCCAAGATGAGCACCTAACCCCAACCCAGCACGGATTTCTCCGCGACCCGGTGTACCCAGTCACACACACACTCAACCACAGGTCGTCAACGCAACCACCACACAATGTTTAACCGCACCGCAGGTTGCTACGCAAGTCGATGCAGGGAAAGCATCTCACGAGTCGATCACAAGAATCAAACGTGTGACCTCCCTCTTGGGAGGCAAACACTCAACCAAACGCATCTGCATTGTAGGTCGTCGACGCAACCACCACAGGTCGTCGATGCGTCCTCCCTCTTGGGAGGCAAACACTCGACCACAGGTCGTCGATGCAACCACCACACAATGTTTAACCGCACTGCAGGTTGCTACGCAAGTCGATGCAGGGAAAGCATCTCACCAGTCGATCACAAGAATCGAACGCACGACCTCCCTCTTGGGAGGCAAACACTCAACCAAACGCGTCTGTACACTATGGCTTTCCTATTGCAATAGTGCAACCCTAGCTTGTCTGCATTGTAGTGTACAGCTTAGGACAGTCCAGAGTATGTTTTTTTTTTTTTTTTGATTTCAGGAGCTACACGAACAGCCCAGAAAATTTGGCTGAATATGTGCCTCAATTTTAGGAATGAAAACGACAGGGCTTTTCTTTTAGGGGCATTCAAACTGCCATCCTGATTTATAGGCAGCTTTCAAGGGCTTTGTTTTTGGGGGGTCTTAAACTGCCATCCTGATTTATGGGCCACTTTAACCTCCAGTCCATCAGAGCTTCTTTTTCCTGTGGCAGATTTCGCCACGTGCCATGTCCTGCAGGCTGAAACAGCACGACGTGGGATTTCCCTGCTGAGCACCCTTTTTTCCACCCAGTAGGCTGAGGCCCCAAGGACGCGGGGTGTTAACTGCCACGTCAGAACAAAATACACCCCTGGGAAACAGACTGGTGGTTTTAAAGTGCTAAACTTTAAATCACCAGTACCTCCACTCGGTGTCTGAATTGGTGTGCCGCGCGGGTCCATATGCATTTGCGTCAGAGCCTCCCCAGAGGGCACCTAAGACCCCCTGGGGCAATGGTGGGTTGAAGAGCTCCAGAAAATGCTGCCCCTTTTTTTTTTTCTTTTTTTTCTTTTTTACACAAACACTAGTCGGCTCTGCTAGTGGTGGTGATAAGAGCCCCGCCACTACCGTAGCAGTCCAGCTGGTGGCTCCTGTCTATTGGTGGGGAGCAGCACCTGCTGGAGACCGGGTCCAGCTGCTCGTGCACTCTTCGTAAATTCCCACATTGCAATCCTCGCATGTTTGCACGACCAGGCACAGTGGGCATGGGGGAGATAAAGACGCGACATGCTTACTGCCGCATCAGAACAAAATAATTGGGCAAAAAGTGGTTGTTTTAAGTGTCACGTAGTTTTTTCCTGATTCAGGACTGTTCATAAATTCTCACATTAAACCACCAGTACTTGGCCCAGCTATCGGCCGCGGAAAAAAATAGAGTAGAAACGTTTCTAGTTGGATGAATTTGGGCGCTCCTGTAGTGGCCTGTACGTTTCCTAAAATCTCGTAGCGTTGACGGGCACGACTTTGGGAAGCCTTGGTGGTTTAAAGTCCTCACATGTTCGCACGACAAGGCCCAGTGGGCATGGGGAGGCAAATTTAATGAGCATGATAAGCTTCCACATAAAAGCACCAGTATTTTTGACCCTTCCCTTCCCAAGCCTGGACACGCCCTGCACACCAAAGAAAAACGCGAACCGGCCTGTGCCGCCTTTTGGTTGGCAGTAGCAGCCATTTTGTTCCGGTCGGCCGACCCCCAAAACGTGTGCCCGCATGCACACCGCGTCGGAGAAAAGTGGCTGGGAAGTGTACTTGTGGGTAAACCACCAGTACTTGGCCCAGCTATCGGCCGCAGAGAAAAGTTGAGTAGAAACATTGCTAGTCGGATGAATTTGGGCACTCCTGTAGTGGCCCATACGTGTCCTAAAGTTGCAGCTTGTTTAGGGGCACGACTTGAGGAAGTACTGGTGGTTGTGCAATCAGACTCGTTTTCAAACACACTTTTCACACATGTAAACAGTAACACAGCACACTGGCGACATGCGCCCACTCAAAACTCAGAGATATGGTTTTCAGATACGAGTTCACTCCCAATTGGCTATGGCGACCTCAGCGCACAAACATCTCACTGTTCACATACACTGGATCACCCTGGATATCCCACACGCATCACTCTAACACTCGAGCACACTCACACACTCACTACTAACTATAGCTATGGCAGCTATGGCTGCCTCTAACCTATCGCTATGCTAACTCCTCCTCTCTTGCCCACTGCGTCCTCCGGGCTCATCTGCAGACCTCCTTGCACAAGTCGCTGTGGCAGCGCTTCCGCATGGCTCACGCAGGAATGAATGAATGGCTGGGCGCTGCCTCTTGATTTATACTTCAGAAATTCGTTGGTCTGCCCTTTGCCATCGGCCCTTGGTGCTCACAGTCCCCCTGTGGTACTTGCTGGACTGGACTGGGACTCTCTAGACCCTTCTGCTGACTGTAGGCAGTCGTACCGTCGACTCAGTGCAGTTGCACTGAGGTCCTACCTGTTGACCTTGCCACTTGTCTTCGTCTGAAAACGTGGGCCTACCTTAGACTCACCACTTGACCCCTTGCCGACCTTCTAGGACTACAGCTAGGCCTCTGGACTCTACTTGGACTCCTACCTTACAGGTCTACAGTTCGAATCTTCCTACAGCCTACAACCTACGGACCTGTCTCTTATACACATCTAGATGTGTATAAGAGACAGGCCTACAACCTACGGCGACCTACTTACCACTGGCTATCGTGCAGGTCACGGGTTCAACTCCAGGGAACTGTGCAGATACTGTACACAGGTAAGCTGAGGTCAAGGGATCGACCCCTGGGATCTGCATCGGCTACTGCCAAAGGTGAAAACCGTTTCAGTTGAAACCTAGGCTACCAGAGTGGCCCGGGAGCACTTGCCCGGGCGGGCCAGAAAAAAATATAAATAAAAAAAGTTAAAAAAACTAAGAAATATATTAAACTGATTACGGACGCCACCTGGGCGGGCGGGGCCGGGTGGGCCGCCCGGGCAAACCGGGCGGGCAAAAGAACAGCCCAGAATTTTTTTATTTTTTTTTTGAAGGCGGGGTCCTCCTGTGCTCGGCGAGAGGACCCCGAATCTGCAATAAAATTCTGGTTTGGGGAGGGGACGGGTTGTCTGGGTGTGAGGGAGGGGGGGGGAGGTGGGGGGGGGGCGTTTTCTGGGTGTTGGGGACTCTGCATGTATTTTGCCTGCTGTTTGCTGCATGTGTGATACCAAGTACATGCTGGGTTGGGGGCTCTGCATGTTTTTGTGGGTTCGACAGGCCGACATGTCAACATGATGAGGTATAACAAGAAAGAGAAGAAGAACAAGACTGATAAGATTGATAGGAACAGGAAGAAGAAGACTGACACACTGAGGACAGGAATACAATTCTTTGACAGCAGAAAGCATATCGGCAGCATGATCAGCTGCATCTGGCCAATATTCATCCACCATGTTACAGACATCTCGCTTTGTCTTTGTCTGTCTGTCTGTCTGTCTCTCTCTCTCTCACACACACACACACACACACACACACACACACACACACGCACACACGAAAACCCACGCACGCACGCACACACACACACACACACACACACACACACCAATGTCAGTCATCAGTGTAACCCTCGTCTTCGAAGAACTGCTCGCTGCAGCTGTCGGAATCGGGGTCATCCTCGACAATCTTTTTGCGAGGCTTGCACTGCTGTTTTTTTTTTTTCGGCTTCGTAGCCGGACCGGCAGTAGGGTTCTTCCGAGGCCTGCCACGTGGAAGTTTCGGCCTCGGCACATCGTCGACAGGGGGCAGCTTCCTCTTCCTCCCAACCCTGCTGACCCACAGGTTGTCGTGTTGGCTTCCCTCTACGTTGTCTGGGAATTCAGGGGAATTCTCCGGTGACCCGGCAGGCTGCGCTGTTTTCTTTTGACGCTTGTACACGGTCGTCGATGCATGCTGTTGCTGTTGCGGCTCCTCCTCGCTGTTCGCCATCTCGTTGTGCTGCTGCTCCTCCTTGCTCTCTCCCACTCGTTCCGCATGTTGTTCCTCCAACCCCTCTTCTTGCTGGTCCGTGCCCTTCCCTTTGTCTTGTTCCATCTCCTCCTCTCGCCGCTCCATGCAAGCCTCTTCTTCTTCGTCCTCCATCTCTTCTTCTTTCTGCGCCTGGTGGGCCATCTCGTGTTCTTCCTCCTCGTCTTGCTGGCCCATCTCCTCCTCTTCCTCCTCCTCTTGCTGCCCCATCTCCAGCACAGGCTCCGGTTCATGCTCTCCAACCTTCTTGTTTTGTTTCTCCATTTCTCTACGGGTTGGTATAGCTGGTCGCTGCTTCTCCTCCTCTCTCATTCTCCTTTGCACTTGTTCGCGATCCGCATCAGCGATTGCCTTCGCACAATTGGCCTCCGCCTCATCCGCGTCAATTGGATGTTGTACTGTGCACTTGTATTCGCCGAGATCCATGTCAATGTCACCATGTGTTCGTCTGTGGTAGCTCAACATCGGATTGGATGGCGAGATCCATGTCAAAATCAGTGTCAATGTCGGTGTCCGTCTGCGGTAGCTCAACATCGGATTGGATGTCGTACTGTGCACTTGTATTCGCCGTCCGTTGAGGTGGCGTTGTGGGCGGGCGTTCTCGATGGCGCTGCATTGTTGGCCTCCCAACATATGTGGTGCCCGGAATTGACGGTCGCACTCCCAACCCAAAATATTGTTGGACGAGTCTTCTGCCTCCCCTTCACTAGACGTTTCAGACCATGGAGCCTTTCCCTTCCATATCTCGTCGCCCAAGTCGCTGTCGTCCGTGTGCTCCTCTTCATCTTCTTCGAGGTTCTTCGGAATCCAGCCCTTTGGTAACTTGGTTAAGGCCCGTTCCCGCGCCTGTTCCTCCTCCATTTTCCCCTTCTCCTCCTCGGGCTCCTCCAAAAGAGGATCATCGCCCTCCTCCGAATCAGGAAGCGACTCGAAGAACTCCGCCCACAAGTCGACGTAGTGATGGTCCTTTAAGTTCTTGCTCGCCCGCAACAGATTCATATTCCAATGAATGTACACAAGCTTCTCCACGGCCGTGGGGTTCAACCAATTCCATCGCTTGGAGTGCACCAAGTCCATCGAGGACCAATTACGCTCCGCCGGAGTTGCAGTGCTCCACATGCCCATCACTTTGATAGCAATGGCCTGCAACGTCGACACATCGCCACCATGTGTTGCGCACCACTCCGACGGCGAGATGCAATCAGCATCTGTGACCGCATCCTCATCCCACATCTTCGTGTCCTTCTGCTTGAGGTTGTACGCGGTGGGTCGCTTGTGAAACTCGCGGAGGTCGCTCAATATATCCACGTGCGCCTTGGACCTCCAAGGTCCGCCAATTTGCCTCTGCAAATAACGCAGCGTGTTCTGCACAAGTGCGCTATTCCGGTCCAGCAACCACTTCGGGTCTCTCCTCCGCGGGTCGAGAAAAAAAGCCAGCGTGTGCACCGGTTGCTGCATCATCTTCGTGCGGTTCCTCACCTTCTCTAGCACAGAACTTCGTTGCTCCGGTGTGAGCACAACCTCCGCCAGCATCCTCTCCATGAGTAGGTCGTACTCCACAAGGTTTGACGGTGCAGTCCCGTCCTTGTCCATCCTCCGCAGTAGGAGATACAACGACTCCATCATCTCCACCGCTCCGTCCACCAAGCACCCCTCCGCATTGTGAAGTACACGAGATCCGCTTTCGCTTGCAGCTTCGCGCTTAACCACCACATCGCCTTCCATTTCCCCACATTCCTTGCGTCCACCATATCCTTCAAAATTGCCCTCCGGTTGTGTATCCGCTCCAGCCTCCGGTACAGTGTACACCGACCCGAAACGGACCTCAACCGGTCGCAATAACATTAATGATGAGTCCAAACTCATCATGAAACTGTTAGTCGTGTGGTGATTCCTGATAAACTTGACGATGGTGTGGCCCCGCTTCATCGTGCCCTTCACCCAGTCCAACTTGTTGATGTCCCTTAGCAGCAAGCTGCAGCAATGTGCAGCGCAGGGAACCCAAGGTATCCTTGAAACCGCAGGGTCCATGCGTCGTTCCAAAATTTGAGCTGCTCTCTTGTTCACCTCCGCATTGTTAGTGCAAATCGCATTGATGCGATGCAGCCCGATCTCCCTCATTATTTTCTCCCAAAGTTTCGCCAACGCTGCTCCCGTCTTCTTCTTGCCGTCCATGTGCACCGTCGTCACTAAAACAGCTCCCTGCTCCCCCACCGCTAAAAAGTTCATGACAGGCCGCTCCCTCCGATCATTAGACCCGTCTGTGATGAAAGTGCAGTCGGTGACATCCCAACATTTTGTCAAAGGCTCCACTTGCTTTTGAATGTGCATGAAAATGAACTCGAGCATGACAGTCTGAATGTGCATCGAAGACGACAACTTCACCTTCGGTCTGGCATTCGCCACCTCGAGATACACGTCGTGCAGCTGTCGGGTGGTGTCGAACTCCAGGAACTGGAATGCAATTCCGACTCTGAACATTGCCTCCGCCCACGCAACGTCCAACTTCTTCTGCGTTGCGTTGTCGACCCATCTCTTGATGGTCGTTTGCTGCAATGAAGCCACCCTTTCGGTGAAATCACCATCTTCTCCCACCGCCTCTACCGCTGCAGTTTCTTTTCCTCGGTGCACCACCTCCTCCACTGGCTCCCTCCCAGCAGCAATTGACGGTTGTGGCCCCTCGTAACCGCGTGGTACAACCACACTCTTGTCGTCTTCGGTGATAGCACCCCCCCCCCGCTGAAATGTTGTGAAGCTGCCGGTAATTTTGCAGATTGTCCTTCGGCAGCACCTTCACGTCTTGGGCCACCAGCTTGTGCAATATCTCGCTTGTCTTGAAAGGGCAAGGCTTCTGCAATTTGAGGAAATGCTCAACGACTCTTGTGCTCGTGCCCCTGTAAACGGTCGAGCATAGCCGACACCGCACCCAATACTCTCCCCGCCCCTTCGGCGCAGCCTCCTGACCTTGCTCCACATGCTTCCACACCTCCTTCTCGCCCTGCAGCTTCCTTTGCCTTTCCTCCGGCTGTGGGACGAACAAGGATGGGTCCGTAGCTGGCGTCGGGACTTTGTCAACCACACCCGACAAAGGTGCGCTTGAGCTCGCAATGTCCTTCCCTTTACCCCCTCCTCTTTCTGTTTGCTTCCGGCTTCCTTCTCCACCAACCGCACCCCCTGCCCTGCTCCCGCTGGCCATACTGTTGCAACCACCTCCTCCCCTTCCAAAAAACAACTGATGAAATGGTAGGATGGACTGACGGAGGGAGACTGCTTTACAATGTCGGAGAAGAAGAAGAAGAAGAAGATGGATGGATGACGAGATAGTACGATGGAGGGAGATGCTTTATAATGTCGAAGAAGTTAAAAAAAAAAGAAGAGGAAGCGAAAGATGGATGGAAGGATGGAGATAGGTAGGGAGGGATGGCGAGGTGAGTGGATGGAGTGATGGAGGGATGGAGGCAGACTGTTTAATAACTTTGAAGAAGAAGAAGAAGAAGATGCATGAATAGATGGATGGATAGATGGAGGAGGTTTGGGGTTTGTTGAGGGATGGCGAGATGGGAGGGAGACTGACTGACAATGTTGACGAAGATAAACAAAACAGAAGAAGAATAAGATGGATGGATGGATCGAGGGAGGGAGGGATGGATGGCGAGATGGGAGGGAGGGAAGGATGGCGAGATGGCAAGGGAGGGACGGAGGGACTATGGCGAGATGGCGAGATGGGAGGGACTATGGCGAGACGGGAGGGAGGGAGGGATGGCGAGATACTATGGCGAGGTGTCGATATGGGAGGGAGGGAGGGATGGTGAGATGGCGAGGGAGGGTGGGAGTATGGCAAGATGTGGAGATGGGATAGACTGTGGCGAGATGGGAGGGAGGGAGGGATGACGAGATGGCGAGGGAGGGAGGGACTATGGTGAGATGAGGGAGGGAGGGATGTACTATGGAAGATGAGGGGGGGGCGGAGGAGGAGAAGTACAAGAAGTAACAAAAGAAGAAGATGACGAGAGTAGGGGGAAGGAGGAAGGTTTTTTTTTACCTACCGCGTCTCACGCGACCTACCAAACGATGGACAAGATGGCGGCGGCGGCAGGGCGGTATGTTGTGGTGGCGGGGTATGGCGGTGGGCTGTGGCGGCGGTCCTACAAGAAGAAGAAGAAGAAGAAGAAGAAGAAGAAGAAGGCAGGGCGGTATGGTATGGTGGCGGGGTATGGTGGCGGGCTGTGGCGGCGGTCCTACAAGAAGAAGAAAAAGAAGAAGAAGAAGAAGAAGACGAAGAAGAAGAAGATGGCGGCGGCGGGAGGGCGGTATGGTATGGTAGCGGGGTATGGCGGCGGGCTGTGGCGGAGGTCCTACAAGAAGAAGAAAAAGAAAAAGAAGAAGAAGAAGAAGAAGAACAAGCAGATGGCGG